ATAAAAAATTATACAAATCAAACACCATTAATTACAATTCCCAATAAAATAATTTCTTGACAAATCAATTCCTTATAAAACATTTTCTTTCCTCTCATTTTCACCTTTACAAACAAACGGACCGACTAACCATAAATATCAAAAATAAAATAAATATTAGTTTGCACAACACTACTTTACTGTGGAGTTATCACAAGCCTGATTAGCAGCAGAATCCAAGAGTCACCACAAAGCCCAAGAAATGTCCGTCGAAAAGTCACGGCAAACCCCAAGAAATCTTCATTATATAATTAATGAAGAATTGATCTTATGTATGCACAAGTATGTACTTACTTGAAAAAATGGCTCCTCGTCCGAGTACTGGTGTTGACAATGGTGAGTTCCTTCGACCTTTAATCTTTATTCTTAACCTAAACTCTTTACTATTTATCAACAGACAACAGAGAGTGGGATATTAAATTCATTTGTTTTTTCTGTTAAATTGTTGTAGAAGTTACAGTAGGAACAAGAGATTTCTCTCCGGCACACTTCTTGTTTCCGGCACACTTCTTGTTCAAGATTGAGTCATTCTCCCTGCTTTCAGAAAATGGTATTGACAAGTATGAATCAAGTGAATTTGAATCAGGTGACTACAAATGGTATTTCTTCTTATCTAGATTCTCATTCATAAATTTATGAATAACCATTTGTACAAAACCCTTATACCTCCATTTGTTTTCTGTAATTTTTCATGTTAATTTATTTGTTTGTAATTTGAATATTTCATTGACTTAGGAAGTTGATAATATACCCTAATGGGCGAAACACAGAGGATGGAGGCAATCATGTTTCTGCGTACTTGGTTGTAGCAGATATAAATTCTTTGCCTAATGGCTGGGAATTTAATGCCTTCTTCAGCATCTTTTTGTTTAATCACGAATTTGACAATTTTATGTTTATGAAAGGTAATATCTACTTTTAAAGCGATAGGAAATTAAAGCATTTACTATATATAAAATCTTAAACTGTCATTATATTAGCTGCTCCTCTCTGCGTGCAGGTCAACGACGTTTTCATCTTATAAACCCTGAATGGGGCTTTTCCAATTTCGTTGCGAAGGAAGATTTGATGGATCCCACTAATGGATTCATTGTTGATGATAAATGTGTATTTGGAGCGGAAGTGTTTGTCATCAAGAGCAAAGGCATTGGAGAATGCTTGTCTTTGTTTAAAGTAACTGATTCCTATACGCGAGAATTCAAGATATCAAACTACTCTGTAATGGAAAATCAATGGTTTTCTGTGGAATTCATCACTGGAGAACATAAATGGTATCTCTTTATGCCCGTTTTCTTCTACAGCTCTTTAACGTTTCTTCCTCTTAGCGATTCCAATTTTGTTGGTTAACATAGGAAGCTTTGTGTGGATACGAAAGGATATGGTGATCAAGAGGGGGACTGTGTTTCGATATTCTTGGATGCGGTTGGTATGGAAAGACAGTCGTCCTATCAAAAACTGAAAGCGGATTTCACCATATGCATGAAAAACCAGTTTGATGGTGCAGATCGCAAGCATCGTGGTAAGACTAAAATGAAGTTGAAACTAAACAATATATGTATGTGTGTGTGAAACTGAAAAAGAATGATAATTAAAAAATTTCTTTAGTGTAATGATTTTGTAAAGGTTTTGGATGACATTCGAATGAAACGATAGGGAGATAAGAGAGAATGTTTGTGTGGAGTTTTAACTTCAAATTTCAAATGAATGAAGAAGTCAATGTTAATTTTTAAGGCAAGTAAGACAAATTTTGATCAAAGTCCTTTTGCATAAATTGCTGACATTGCCATTTATCTATGTTTCCTTGTAGAATAAGGAATTTTACATATTTTTTAATTATAATACATCATAAAGATTCATATAAACTGAACCAATTCATGTTGTACGAATTTTTAAGTTGATTATAGTATATGTCATGCTATGTACATTCAATTTCTTTGCAGACATTAATGGCTGGTTTTCGCCTTCTTGGCCCAGTTTGGGATGGTCAAATTTCATTTCGATCACTGACATGAATGACCCTAAGAAAGGATTTGTCGTTGGAGATAGCTGCGTCATTGAAGTTGAAATTTCTATTAAAGCTGTTGTACGAAGTTTACCCTAGGCTTCACTATATAGCATGGATTTTACTTCACATTGTTGTAGTGAAATTGGATGTAAATGGTCATTTCTTCCTACAGCGATGTTAGGGAAAATATCCATGCTTAAACTATTGCTGTTTAGGTAAAGTAGAAGATTGTCATTTAATTTTGGCTAAAGGAGAAAAGATCCAGAGTTGTTTCGACCAATTTGATTGCTGCTGTGTGATGCTGTGATGTGGTTGCATTATGTATATACACAGTCAGGACACCAATTTCCTCTTTAAGTAAATTACGAACCAAGATATGTAGGTATCTCCAATGGGTCTACCATCATGTTATGGAAGTGAAACTAAGAGGGAACAACAGTGTATTATCGCGTCTACATTTCGTTCTCATTTCTAGAGTGAAGGGGGAACTGATAAGAAGAAATTGACAAAACTAGATTGCATTTCTAAAGGAGTGTCAGTATTGAATCTTTGTGCTTTCTAAATCACTTTCCTAGAATATCAATCCCAGTATCTCTCTCTCGAAACTTTCTGCAGTTTTGCCATCGCTTCTTCTTTAGGATTAATCTACCATTTTTTCTTTTTGCATTGAAGAAGTAAGAGCGTTTCCAAACGGCGTCTTCACCAAAACTTCAATATATGTATTGCAACCGAGCTCTTAGAACAGAAATCGAAAAGTAATTCTAGCCATCTCACGGTTATTCAACATGTTGGTCCATATTTTTCAGCTCATAAAACTCTACAGTTTCTGCTTAGTTGGATTGAAATCAATCATTCACCAACATAGATCTCCGTTTTTCAGTTTTCCTCATAATGTTCATTCAGAAAAATCGTAGCATCTTTCGTTCCATTGGTGGTTGTTGAATATTGTGCCTTCAATTAACCAAGATCCGGGCTCAGTCTCCAAACCAATCCACACCACAATGCAAACCAAAACACGAACCAAACACCACCCAAGTAGCACACGGGTTGCTCCACAGGTTATAGCCCACAAAGGACTAGGGTGAGAATATTACAGCCTAGAAGAAATAGCCACAA